GGGGCCTGGAAAATTGGCCTGGATAATTGGCCTAAAAATTGGCCTAAAAGTTGGCCTGGAGAACTGGGCCTGGATAATTGACCTAAAAATCGGCCCTGGATAATTGGCCTGGAAACTTGGGCCTGGGAAATTGGGCCTGGGAAATTGGGCCTGGGGACTCGGGCCTCGAGACCCGGCCCTGAAGACTCGGGGCCGCGCGCAGGGCCTGCCAAAGGAAGGCGCCACCTGGAGCCATGGACAGCTTCTTTTTTCTTGCTTGCCCTGCCATCCGGCCCGGCCACCCAAACCCTTTCCGGCCCGTCGTGTCTTTTTCCTGGTGTCAAAATTTTACTGTGTCCAAATAGCCCGGCTGTGAAAGACCCGGCTGTGAAAGACCCGGCTGTGAAAGACCCGGCTGTGAAAGACCCGGCAGGCTTGGGGCAGGGCGCCGCGGAAAGCGCGCCCACGGCCTTGGGCCACACCGCTGGCCCTGCCCCCAGCAGGAGTGCCCGATTCGCAGGTCCGCGCAGCCTCCACCAGGCCTCAAGGCACCCGAGTCTTTTGAACCCTGTCGCCGCCCCACACCGCCACGCCAGTTTCCGAGACTAGCTGCCGCGTGTTGCCTACCGTGCCGGCCGTTGCAGAAAGCTGCAAAACCCTGGAGACCAGCTGCCGAAAAGCGCAGCAGATTGCGGAGCTTTGCAGAACACTGTCGAAAGCCGCCGCCCCGAACCACCGTCTGCCCCAGAACCTGGCCGTCCGCCCTCCTTCGCCATCTCCCATGGACTTGCCGCTCACGCGCAGCCTCTACAAGGCCTTGACCGGCACCTCGTGCTTCTACACCACCGTGCAGCTCTTGCCCCTGGGGTCCGCCGTGCAGGCCGTGGAGGACCGCGAGAACAACACGCTCGAGATCGGCGTCCCCAAACGCGTGTACTTGCAGATCTTCGCCGAGGGCCACGCGTACTTCCAGGGCTCGTACCCCCGGGCCCCGGACACGCGGCGCATGCCGCGCGGCCGCCTCGAAAACACCTACTTCGCGTGCTTGGCGCTCCTCGCCACCACCAACGACCACTCCACCGTCTGGCGCGTGCATGAGCTGGTGTTGGCGGAGCTCTGCCGGCTCCACCACGGCTCGTGGGGCGCCGCCGACTTCAGGTTCTGCACGGCCTTGGCCACGTCGCGCCTCGACCGCATCAACAAGAGCTCGCTGCTCTGGCACTGGCTCCGCAAGAACGCCGTTCTCCACGTGTTGGCGGCGCGCGGCCCCGCGCCGCTCTACGCTTTCATCCGGCAGATCCTCCGGGCCATGGACGCGCATTTGGCCAACTGCGCGGCCGGCTTCTCGCTCGTCTGGCTCGTCCTGGTGGCCCGCGCGTCGGGGCCCGCGTTCTGCGAGGAACACGTGGCCCTGCTCCTCCGGGACAAGTGCAGACGCACGTTGGGCGACGTGCTGCTCTGGTCCGCGTACGGCCTGCTTCTCCAAGGACGCCCCTCGCCACATGCCATGCTGATGTACCGGCAATTGTCGGCGCAGCTCACGGCGTGCGGGGCCATGGCCGCGGGCCCCGGCCCGGCATCCACATGTGGGCCGGGCCCTGCGGACGGCGCCCCGCAAAGTGCCGCTGCCGGCCCGCCGCGGGCCCCGTTCTCGCCGCACCGCGAGGCCTTGCGTGAATTGCACTGGCTCCTCGACATCCAGTGCACCCTTCGCCTGCCGTATGAGCACATGCTCCGGGCCTTGCCGTGTGCCGAGGACGCCAGGGCATTGATCCGCCAGAAACACGCTGCTGCCGCCGCCGCGGCCCGGCCGCTGGAGCAAACGGCCAGGTTCCTCGATGTGTTGACCTCGCTCGTGAACTAGGGCCTGCTTCAGAACTAGAGCCTGCTTCAGAACTAAAGCTTGTTCCAGAACTAGGGCCTTATTCCAGAACTAGGGCCTTATTCCAGAACTAGGGCCCTTACTCCAGAACTAGAGCCTGGTTCAAAACTAGGGCCTTATTTTAGAACTACGGCCTGCTTCAGAAATAAAGCCTTATTCCAGAACTAGAGCCTGCTCCAGAA